TCATAAGGAGGAGGGAGAAAACTTGTTCATCTTGGTCTCTGAGGATAGAACAAGAAGCAGTGGGCTTAAACTGCAGCAAGGGAGGTTTAGGTTGGACATTAGGAAAAAGTTCCTAACTGTCAGGGTGGTCAAACACTGGAATAAATTGCCCAGGGAGGTTGTGGAATCTCTATCTTTGGAGATATTTAAGAGTAGGTTAGATAAATGTCTATCAGGGATGGTCTAGACAGTATTTGGTCCTGCCATGAGGGCAGGGGACTGGACTCGATGACCTCTCGAGGTCCCTTCCAGTCCTAGTATTCTATGAAATTAATGGCAAAACTTCCTTTGCAATCAGCGAACCAGGATTTTACCCTCAATGTTCTGTTGTCAGAACAATTTACAAAACAAATACGTGCAGACGTCTTTGCCTCCTCCAAGTATAGCTCTGCAGATTTATAGAATCTCAGGGTTCTGCTTATGTCAGGGCAACTACACTGGTAGGACCCCCTCCATGATCCCTCAAGGGCAGGCATTGAAGGTCTCTACAGGAGCAGGGCCCCACCATGAGGCAAACTGAGGCAGCCGCCTCAGGTGCCAGACTGTGGGGGGTGCCACTAGGACCCAGAGTGTAGAACATGGTGTCTGCTGCCAGTGCATATGTAGGTAGCAGAGCAGTACAGGAGAGGCGTAGAACAGGAAGAAGGCAGAATTGAGACCTTGCAAAGTTTTGGCCCAAGTGAAGGAGCCTGGGGGCGTCATTTGAGCTCCTGGACTCAGGTGCCAAAATGTTGTGGGTCAGCCCTGCCAGAGGGCAAAAAACGGAAGGGAAATGCCTTGGGGGCAGATTAGGTTCAACTGATGTAGTGAGGGGAGATTTTCTAAAACTCATCCGGGACTTAGGTGTTACAGAGCAACTGAAAAAATAAAGCTTAAAACACAGAGAATTGCTTTCCTGGGATTCAGTTTGGAAAGTTACAGTGTAAGGGGGCAGTTACAAATGCTCAGCACAGAAAAGTCCAACAAAGCCCACAATAAAATAACCTGATTGCATCTGACTAAAGATTTTCTACCGGGCTGGCGTGATTATTTGCAGGGCCTGTTTGAATGAGGTGGGATGCTCACATCTCTGATGCTCCAGGGGACATCCTTCCCTAGGCATGGATGTCGCTGGATTCTCCTTGCCCTGCTCTCTGGCTCAGTTCATGTCTCCTGGCTTAAGGTCATTGTTTCCAGTTAATCACATACACAAAAAGATTTTGGGGCTGGAGCAAATGCTACCTAGTAGGAGACTGCAGGTTAGTCAGTTCGGTCTAGAAAAGAGAAGAGTGAAAGGTGATTTTTCTGGCACGGATTCACAAGGTCTGGTCTGTGCCTGGCCTTCATCCAGGCCCTTGGGAGTGACCCCTTTATTGTGCTGGACCCCACGACCCACACCATTGCACAGAGGCAATTCCCTGGCTTCAGTGGTGCAGAAGCTAAGCCTTTGAGAACCAGTGATCCCTGGCTGTCTCCATGGTTCCCGGCAGCAATTCCAAGGAAGCCAGAGCTCTGCAGGGGATTTGTTTGATCCCTTCAGGGCTGAATGGTGTCCAGGAGTATCTGCAGTAACACCAGGCAGCCTTTTCCAAACCAAGTAATGGATGAGTTAGTCCCCTGGCCTATAGAATGTGAAAGCTCTCAGCTCAGCACAGAAAAGAGAATTGTGAGAGAGGGTCTAGCAAGCCCAGAGGTGAGCTTCACTGATCTGTACTTTGATCACTTGCTCCCTGTCCCCTTTTTGTGTCTCAGTCCCCAGTGAGTTCCTGTAATACTGAGGGTGACAAATCATTGGAACAAGCTACCCAGGGAATTGGTGAATTGTCCATCTCTTGCTATCATCAAATGAAGCAGTGTTTTTTAAATTTTTTAAGACTGAGGACCTCCAAACAATAATCTTTTTTATGAGAAACACCAAGGATTTTTTGTTGAGGAAAAAAAAAGGTTGCCTGTCCCTTTAAGGGTGACCATTTTGAATTTGAATTCTGTTGTTCTCCACGGTACACCTCTAACTGCCTCATGGCACACCGGTGTGCCATGGAACACAGTTGTTTAAGAAACACTGAAATAAAGACTTGGTGACTTGCTGGAAGATGCTTTAGTCAAATACAAGTTTGGTTCAGTACTGGGGTAAATGGCTGAGAGACTTTGGCCTGTGGTGCAGATCAGACTAGATGATCTAATGGTCCCTCTGCCCTTAGCTTATGAATATAGGGAAGTGTGGTAATGTAAACATAACTGAGCCATGGGCCAGCGCAGTGAAAGTCAGACAGCTCTGGTGCTGTCACTGTCTCCCCTTCACTCACTGTCTGGTTTGTTTTTCCTCCTGTTCCCAGGCCCAGCGATGATGATGGGGAAGGTTCCTTCATTCTCCCATGGCTCCGCAGTGAGCTCCATTCTGTCCGGCTACCTCGCGCTCTGCCTCGCTCTGCAGGTTCTCAGGCTGGCCTCAGGTATGCGCTCCAGCCCTCTTGCTGAGTTTGTTGCTCTTGCTATGGCTGGTCATTCCCATCAGTCTGCTGTCACTGCCTTGTCTTGTGTAAATCATGTCTGCTCAACCTGCCACCAACATGGAGCACCCACAGGGCACAGCTGGGTCCCCAGTAACCATGGTTACTATCTGCACCATGATGTTAGTCCCGGATACTACATCCACCCCTCTGCTCCGGGGGCACGTCTACACTAAGAAATTATTTTGAAATGGCTAAATTTGAAATAATAACTCCCAAAATATCAAAATGGAACTGGCATGTCTATACTACGGGGGAAGCCTCACAATTAGTGCGAGTCGGGCTCCGTTACTGTGGATGAGCCACCTCAACTTAAAGCCCCGGGAAGCTCTTTGAAATAGCAGGAGAAGAGTGTCCACAGTAACACTATTTCAAAATAACTATTTTGAAATTAGCGTTACAGGCAGTCCCCGGGTTATGTACAAGATAGGGACTGTAGGTTTGTTCTTAAGTTGAATTTGTATGTAAGTCGGAACTGGTACATATTGTAGGGGAAACTCTAGCCAAACATTTATCCAGAGCTCAGTTTTATTCTCCCACACCTCACTTCCCTCAGTCCTTTATTCTCAAGCTGAGGTGTCTGCTGAGAAAAGCCGCTCCGCGTCTCCCTGGTCTGCTGGGGGAGGGGAGGGGCGCTAGCTTCGCGTCTCCCTGGTCTGCTGGGGGGAAGCAGCTAGTGCGGGGTTGCCTCACCCCGTTTGTAAGTAGGGATCCGATGCAAGTTGGATCCATGTAACCCAGGGACTGCCTGTATTCCCAGAGGAAAGCAAGAGAACAGATTTCGAAATAACAGGCTTGGTAGTGTGGACACTCAGCTTATTATTTTGAAATAAGAGGGTTATATTAATATAACTCCCTAGTGTAGACTCGGGCTGGCTGATTCTGGCAACTTCTAAAAAGCAGAACACAAGTGACCACCACAACAGGGCTGGCAAACTATTTAGAAAGACACTATCAATTCCTAGACTGTGCACCGACAGACCATGTGTATCACGAATCAGCCTCTTTAGCCAGGAACGGGCCCTGAATCCCAGACTCTCCACTTTGGAAGAAACCCACAGATTTTTTATGCGGCATTAGCCATGTCCGATGGGCTGAGAACTAGACCTCGTCTCACAGTGCGGATGTGAGGCCATTTACTGGCTTCTTCTTTCTGCACCTTCTGTGACCCCCCTTCTGGAGTTCCACTCCACCCCGGGGCTGCCTTCATGGCCACTCGGGCAGTTTAGTTCCCACCTACTGTGGTTTGCATCCTGCTAATGTAACCAGCTCTCTCTGAATGCTCAGTCTTAGTTCTGAGGTTTCCCCCACCTCCCCCAACCCTGTGCTGTTCCACAGTGACTGGTTCTCTGCTTCCTTCATTTTTATCTGCCTCCTTCTCTCTTTCTATTATCTGACCTCTGACTTTTCCTTGAAAGCCATCACCTGCTTCCTGATGATCATCTGCTTTTCTATCATCACACCTAGTCAGCCTTTACATCATCCTCACTGTAGATGAGGAGGCCCCTGTGCTGGAGCAGCGTGAAAAGGCCTTGGGGTATCGAAAAGGCCTTTATCCCCATGGTGCCTATGAGAAGTGTCCTTCCCTATTCAGAGATAATAGGGACTGTGAGAGAGTGTGATTGTCTCCCTGGTGTACTGATCATGTCATTGACACCCACTTTCCTCCCCTCTGGGGCTTCCCACTACCCTGTCCTACTGGGTCACAACCCTCTGGTCTCCCCAAGACAAAGCACAGAGTTAGGGTAATTCAGCTCTGAGAGGATTCAGTCCTAAGGGTGCAACATGCAGGAAACCAACCCCCAAATGGGACCAGCCCCCCCTCCAAAATAAATAAATAAATAAAAGTTTTACAGAGAGAAAACTCTTTGGGTTAGCTCTTTATCAATGAAAGAGAGAGATGCACAGTGGTTACTCCACCCAGGTAACAAATATTTACACTGGAACTGATAATAAATAAAACTGTTTCAATTAAGGACAAACAGTAGGATTTCAGTGTTTGCAAGTGAAAATAGGCAGATCAAAGTAAGTTACTAAATTAAAATGAATAGAAAATACTTAGCTGGTTCTAATCCACTAAGCAACATGTTATATGCAAATTCAAAGCTGTTCTTATCTCAGGTGTAAGCTTCAAATAAGTATTTTTTACTCTGACTGAGGTCTATGGCTTTCTTAAAGTTCTTTTGTATCCTCTTAGGATGGGACAGGCTATTCCAAAAAAGCCAGCTGAAGACAAAAAGCTAATTGCTTTCCCTTGCTTAAATAGACCTCCCTCCTGGGCAAGAATTCTTTGTTTTGCATGTTCTCTCCTTATGGAAAATTGTCAGGTTCAAATGGATTCCAGTAGCAAGTGGTGTATGGTCACATGACTTTTCAGGACCAACCACAATCTGGACTCACAGGACAAAAATGGTCGTTGAGTTGATCACTGAGTCATTACGTTTTCAGGGCACCAGTAAGGGCCCTCACTAGCCCATTTCGCCCATAAACAGATTTGCACTTCATATTTCTGACTTCACATACCAAAATGATGCATTCACAAAAATAGGATATACATGTTCAGCAGATGGTAACTGCAAAATTGATGTTACATGAAATATTTTGGCTGTGTCTAC